CAAATATTTGGGTGGCAACATCCCATATGCGACTGAAAACTTCTGTGCCAGCCTTCAACTGAGTTGTTTGTTTTTGGCATATGGTCTTCTGTACGTGTGTGCATGTTCCACATGTCAAGTGGAAACATAGGTTGTCTTCGACCTCGACGTTGTGGTCTGCCAATATCGTAGTCCTCAAAGTAGTCTGCAATTGGCATTGCTTCTTGGGGGAAAATTTCCAATAATTTTTCAAAGGCATAACTCATGTGTTCGATGGGAACAAAGGCCAACGCAGGTAGCATTCTGAGCTTGAGAGCAAATTCACTATCAACTTGGTAGAGTTGTTGAAGGCCTTGTTGCGTCTTTTGGAACACTCGACTGACAACGCCGTTCGCCAGATCTTTTTGCTTGACATAAACATAGCCTTCAAAAATCACCTTTAAATTTCCTTTATTGGATTGAACGAACTCAATTCCAGATAATATACGATTTGTCGAGAAATAAATTTGATTTTATATTTATACCATGGTTCTGTGTGCCAAGGTGGATATGAACCAAGCTTCTCACATCTTTTGTATTGTTAAGAATGTGTTGCTTTGATGCGCACGGCTCCCATTTGTGGATGACCTATATCTAATGTGTTGTCGGTGCCCGATCTTTGATCAAATAAAACTAAGTTCACTCCTTGATTTCGAATATTTTTTTAGGAAGAAACTAATTTCTTAGTCGTAAAAAATGTAAATTAATTTAAAGTAATTTTTTTTATTTCTTGGTTCACATCATCGTTACTATTTCTTTATACAAACCTCAGTCCGGGGGTTATTATCCGGTATCCGGGGGGGGGGGGGGTTGTGTCGCGGGGGTTTTTGTCCAGGGGGTTTATATCGCGGGGGTTCAAGTCGGGGGTTTATGTCCAGGGGGGTTTTGTCCAGAAGGTTTATGTCGGGGGGTTTATGTCCAGGAAGGTTTTTGTCCAGGAGAATAGGTTATGTTTTCAAAACAACATCTGTAGAAGTTAATTGCAGACAGAAAGTTTAGCCGTGTAGGTAATACTTGCACATAGAGATTAAAGGTGATACTATTTGGCTTATAGTGTAGGTCAGGGGTTCACAACCATGGCGCCCGCCGAACGATTCGTATGTACCCACCTCTCACTATTCGACAGAGACAGAATTTTTTCATAAACATTGAAAGGTTGAAGGGGATGGAAATCGAAAGTTTGAGGGGGGGGTGTAAATCGAAAGTTTTGTCCCAGGGTGACGAGAAGGGTCGCTACGCCTCTGGAAGGAGTTTGTCGATTTAAAATAGGTGGTGCCCGCCACCCTACCGATATTTTAGAATGTGCTATAGAGTAAAAAAAAAGGTTGGGAACCCCTGGTGTAGGTGATACTCTCTGAGAAAGTGTAGGTTATTGTCTAGGTGATTGCATCTTACAGAGAGTATAGGTGACACTAACTAATATGGAGCTTAGGTAATTGTCATATTAGAGCTAACTGTAGAAGTCGAGCTTATGTGAAGAAAATAGGTGTGGGACAAAAGGCCGACATCCAAAAGTCCGACAAGACTAAAAGCCGACATGGACAAAAGGCCGATAGCAAAAAGGCAGACAGTTAAAAGGCCGACAGACCATAAGACCGATATACCCTAAAGCCGACAAATCATTAGGCCGACAAGCATAAAATATACTAATATCGCAAAATATGTGTTACTGCATAGCGCCTATCTTGAAAACCATCGAAATAAGGCATTAAATAAGGTGAAATGCTCAAGAGACGGTATTAGTTGCTATCCTTATAAGGTTAACCATCAGGTCCAATTGACTGAAGTTTACGGGAGTTTCTTAAATTCTAAGAAGCAACACCTAAATAATGTGACATGCGTTCACAACTGTTTGCATAGCTTCTTTTATGTCAACCAGATGAAACAACCCTCAGAGAACGAAGTCAAAAGCTGCCGGCATCATCATCCGCATGGAACAAGAAGGAACGCCATGAGACAATTCTAGTTGCTCTCCTTATAACGTGAACAATGGGGTCCATGCGACTAGCGATGACAAAGGATAAACAGATGGGTGGCGTTATCACCATATTTCGCAAAGAAACCAAATGAAGGTGACCGATCACATGCATTGACTTGACTACATGTTAAATACCGTCAAACTTTGAATTATATTTTTAGATTTCTCCATTGCGGATTGCGTAAAACTAATTGTATACTATATTCGTTGGATTCATAAACGTGATACTAGCAGGCAGAGAGTGTAGGGGATACTAGCAGGCAGAGAGTGTAGGGGATAATATCAGCTTAAGTTGTGTTCGTCTGTAAATATTGTATTTGGGAGATGCAGCAATCGGACACTGGTTTACAGATAATTTAATCTTAGATATGTTGTATAGATGATATTAGAAGACAGAGGGTGTAAGTGATACTATCAGTTGGAAAGTTATGTTCAAACTAGCAGACCGACAGTGAAGGTAATACTTACACACAGAGACGGACCTATTTTTGTTTTAAGTAGAAGATATTATAAAAATATGAAAGTTTCAAATCGTGTCTGACATCTTTTTCTGTTTCTGATAGAGCTGTGTCTATTGTCTGTATCTTGATTTATTATTGTCTTGAATCCCCTAGCAGGCCTGTAAATCTTCTTAGGCTGGCCTGAACATTAAGCTTAATTCGTGGGCGGCAGAGAAAAAACGTGTTTAATTTTTGTTTAACAGCCACTTGAAGACTCTTTCTGTAAGGTTTAAACGACACGATTTGTCGTATTCGTTGGTGCTGATAGTGTACCATCTCTTTTGGTATTGTTTCTATTCATGTTTACGATAACGTTTGCAAAAAATATTATTGTTCTGAATTTACTAATAAGAAAGACAACCATGAAATTCTATTGCATAAAAAATATTTTTATTTTTACTTCCCTTTGACCATTGAAACTTTGTCCATGCAAAGTTAATCAATACGCCTAAACTAAAGTCCAAAGGCACCAATACCTAATGACCTAATGACCAAAACTAAATAAAACATTACACAAGTCAAGAAGACATTATATAATATAACCATTGCTTTGCTATACAATATATGACTGTCCCTATATTACGATGGAGGTTAATAACTTCGTTTCTTGAGTATAGAGAAATTTAACATGTTTTTTTTTAAAGCACTCTGTTATATTGTGTTGTCTTCAAAGAATTTTTAAACGGATAGGACATTTTACCTCTACAACCTGCACTTAATATATTAACATTGCTTCATGACTTAGCGTAAAACAATGATTGGCTTCAACTCGTTCTCTCATTGTTGATAAGACCGTTCTGACTGGCTAAAGGCTAAGGTAAGCTACAACCTGGTTATACTACATGTTACATTGTGTCACAACAGTGAAGATAATTCTGATAATGTCTGCATTTCAAGTCAGATAAAGTCGAGGAGAAGAAAGTCTGGTGTAGTGAATGATAGTGGATGGGATCATGGGAACGATTTTTAGAAAGAAATAGTAATTACGTTATAGTTCATTCTGAATTAGATTCTATTCTATTTTAAAACTTCGTGGATTTCAAAAGTCTTCACTAATTTATAAATTTGCCAAACAGATTGTTTGAGCTAGTCATGTAACAGCTGTCTCTTTATTTTACACAATAATAAGTTTTCTCTAAAGATACAAGTACTTCACAACAAAAACATTACGAAAATCGTTTTCCTAGTTTTAATGTAGATGGCTTTATCTTGCAAATACAAAATTTTTACAATAACATAACCATACAATTGTAGTGTAATGAATTATATATTGCTCTTTTAAATTTAAATGAGTGAAGTATAAAGAGCTTCTGTCTAGCTAGCAATACACAGATGACGGTTTAGGAGAAATGTAGATTCGACAATATAAAACAGTCTTCCTTATATTTATAGGACTTAAGTGCTTCAATAAGTTCCTTTAATATATATTTTACTGTTTTATATGGTTGTCATGTATTGAAAGTAGTAAAATGCTATGAAAAACATTTCTGCTATTACAAAAGAAATATATTTTTGCATCCAGTTATACAAAATTTGTTATCGGTTGGAACATGTTAAAAAAAGAAAGATAATGACAAAAATCTATAGTTTTAAAACATTTTAATTGTTGCTTCCCCTTGACCGTAAAAGTTTTCCTATTTAGTTTCAACACAAGACGTGTATCTTATAAAAAAAAACAACTAGCATTTGTCAGATAAAATGTCGGGTATATTTTTACCAGTAAAGCTTGTAATTACTTTGATTTATATTACATAAATTACATAAGATCTAAAATATACTTCAAAATAAAACATGCCCGTATAACCTTTAAGTGTTTTGCGAGCTGGTTTTGAACCGTTGGTTTTGTGCATTAACCATGGTTTTAAATTTTCCAAATATTTACCAGCTTTTGCCATAAAAGCGAAAAAAGTAACGGTATCTTTAAAATGTGAAGGTCAATCTAGCTGATGAAATAGAGTTAAGATATTTCTTTCAACATGGCTTATGAATCAACTGGGTCGTCACACACGGGTTTATATTTCCCAAGTTTTACCCAGGTACCCATCAGAGCTGGATGGACTCAGGAACAAGAGACTTACATTTCAACATGCGAATGCTCTATCACCAGTTGTTGAAAGTATTTAGAAGAAATAAGAATAAAGAAAATGTTTACACAAGTGTCAGTTTATCAGAGAGACAAACTCCGATCCCACTTAACATTTCTATTGGAGTAGGAGAACACAAGATGTAGATCTTAACGGTTGTGTCTGGTAACAGTTAAGTTTATTTTAACTTCACTTCATTGAAGTAGATCATAACTAGACATTATTTATCCATATATAGGCTACATGTCGGCCTTGTCGTTACATTGAATTAGGAATGTTTTAAAACCGCCGACAGCATGGCGATAATACCAACATCAGTATGAAAAAGTTGTTTGATATCAATTTGCTAATTCTAATTAGTCTATAAAAATGAAATTAACAACAAAACAAATAAGTTTTATCTTGTTCATTTATTTTCTAGTATGTAATAATTTTGTAAACAAATAAGAAGAGCAAGAAATGAAATAGATCTATGTAAAGATACAATTCATGGTAACGTTAGATCAACAGTGTTGCCGACATTTGTTAAACACAAAATATTTACAACATTAAACATGTAAAGTGCGTAAAATACATTATGGTAGATGCAAATTACAATGGTTAAACGGTTTGAATCAATCAAAACATTTGTTTTAATCATTTACATGTTATAAAATGTTTACAACACACGCAAGTCTTTACACAAACAGTTTAATGACGGGAAAAGTTCCGCCATTTTGTTTGTTTACATTGTGTAGACAAGGGGAGAGAACTAACAGTTACATCAGTCACAATACTCACCACTATAATTTCCTTCAGAGTTTGATCCACTGTGGGGATGGGGATACCAAAAACCCCCGTCATATCCCAGCCTGTAGACATACGCTCCACTGGAGCCAGGACATGTACATGTTGTGTACCAGTACCTGGTCCATTTGACATCCCTCTCACGTCTGTGAGTCCATTGTCCTACAGACACCTGTTTAGGACAGCCATGAGGATGTGACACTATAACGGTCAACTTGTCCACATTAACAAATCTCATGTATTTGTCCTTTACTTTCCCACATAGATCATAAAAGCTCTCACACATCTTGTCCAGTTCATCAACCAACTCTAAGTCACATGTCACATAACTCAACTCACACCAGTCTCTCTCAATGTCTGCCTTACCCTCCTTCTGCCAGCCATCAAGACTGACCACTGGACTTTTATTGTCATCAAAACCTAAAACACACCTGGTCTGTCTCGCCTCACTGGCATCAAACACCACGTGTGTGGCTGTCAACACATCAACCTTCCCCCACACTTTGCTGGGTGTGGCAGAGACTTGACACTTGGCACAACCACAAGGTCCATTTCTCTCTTTGGACTTGTACACATACTGCACCCTCCCCGTCCCTAACCTCATCACGTGACTTCCTCTGTCATTATAACATGGATATGGAACTTGAGTGTCTGGGTAAAACTCTGGTCTCTTTAGACTGGTGAATTTAGACTTTACCTGGACAGTTAGGGCTGCCAATGTTTTGATTGTCTCAGAAATGAGGTCGTCGTCATGGTAACGTGAAGGGAGATAATTTATGTTGAAATCTTTAAGAGGTATAAAACCTTTGTGACCTGGATTCTTCTTACAACCAGTAACATGTTTGTGTAGATCAGCTTCTCCTCCATAGCACATCTCAGCTTCATGATTTCCTGCAGGAATAGGGGAAACAAAATTATTTAAACAGCCTAAAAATGTAAACACTGATATAAAATGCTCCTATTATTATTTTGATTAGCTATACTATGTTTACACTAACACTTGATTTAGCAGTCTGATCTAGATATAAATTAAAATTTTACTATTTCCTTCATCTAATGAACTATAAAATTACTAATAGTAAAGTCATCTAAATGTTATCACTAGCACAGATTTATAATTATTTAGACTAGAGTTGTCTTATGTTTGTCATATCTCACCTGGAATAAAGACACCTGTTTGGTCACTTTTGGAAACTTTACTTGGGCTCTCACAGTATGGCACATCTAAAATAAAATAATAAGAAAATAACATATGCTTTACTTTATAATTACAGTGACAGGAAATGTGGCATTACTGAGATAAACTCTTATAGCTTGATTGTTACCTTCTCAAAGTTACTTTTACACTTATTGATAACACATGTAGGTTATTAAGGAATGGATTTTTAAATCATCTGTACTTTTAAAAGTGCCATAATATTTTTTAATTTAGCAAAATTAAGGTTACTTTAAGATTTGGTTAAAAGAATGATTTAACAATTATCTGGCTCTACCTTCATTTGTACTTGATGGCTCCAATTTTCTTTTTCTCCCTTTGTTTGGGGTTTTCATGGTTTGTTTTACTGTAGATATGATTATAGAACATTAATATAAAATAGTAACTAGGTTTTATAAGTGCACTAATAAAAAATGTAAACAAATAAGAATTTGTAGAATTAACTTTACATCTGCATATAAACGTTTCTCTAGTATTAGAAGCATATTATTATAGTAACTTAAAATAGATCTGTTTCTTCTAAATACTGAAAAAACACATACAATTTATACAACATATAAAAAAACATGATAATTTTTTGGCTATAAACATAGCACCTATGGTAATCAGCTTACTATTTATTTGATATTAGCTTCTGGTAAACATGTTAATAATTTTAATTAAATGTGATTTTCAAATATTTACTTTTCTGAAGAATGAGTTATATTGGAAAATAAGACCTTAAAATTGCAGCTTACATAATAAATTACCTGATAAACTTTAATACAAATGTTGGGATATCAGCTAGCTGTCACTCACAAGTGTCCACTAAACCTTGAAAACAAAAGTATCTGACTATTTTGATGAATAAAGTTAGATCATTGTTTAATTTTCAAAAGATAATTTATTTTCTCAATAGGCAGAAGTGTTAACCTAGAAAAAATATTTCAATTGATTCTCAGCTAAACAATATTCAGTTTAATTACACTGTTTTGTAAACCATATAGTCTTTATATCCATATAAGCTTGTTGGCTGTTAATTTTCCTCTGCTTTGTTTTATAAATATATAAAGTATTTTATTTAAACATTGGACATATCATCTACACTAAGTTTGCAGAAACTGTAACTTATTCAAACAAGTATTATACACAATGTGAATACTTAATAGGTTCTGTGGATACATTGCCTAATCCAATTAGTTTAGAATATCCCCATGCCCAAAAGTTCAGATGAAGTTAAAACACATTTCAAATAAAAATATTTATCCGAAGAATCTTGTTCGATAGTAATTACAGCAAATAAGTTACCTAATTAGCCTGGATCTTTAATGAATTTAATAAAAATCAGTTATAACATTTAACTTTGAACTATTAGTAACAAAAATAGAATAGAGCATGCGCATGCAATAACAGTAGTCACATAAAAATGGTTAGTATTTCATATTTATTCTCAGGCCTAAATAAAATGTATGAAGATTAACTTTTGAAAGAGAATCAATTTGTCCTTCAATATCCATATATTTTGTAGATCTACTTTTGAATAGCTCTATAGCATAGTTAACTGTTGAAACAAAAAATGTACACAGAAATTGAAAATACACCTCTATAAATCCCTAATGATTTTTTACACTTATAAATGCATTAACATGCAAAAATAAATTAGGCTAAAATACTACACCGTAAAATGACCTATTAGTACCAAACATTTGGTTTAGACTTCATACTAAATACTTTAAAACTTTAAAAATGATACACCTACTATTATTTGTTATAGATTAATATACTTAAATTTACTTTGTTCCATGTTTAGAATGCATTATTTTTATTGTATAATTATTGCTTGAATTCTGCATCTTAATTTTAACCTGCACTCATTGATATGACAGAAGTTCTAAATTGAATTCAGTTCTGGAAGTTGTAGTGATCTAGAATTAGATCTAGATCCAATCTAGACTAGATTTCTATATCCAGTTTAATACTAGAATCTAGATGTAGATCTATATCATTAGATGATTAGAATAGATATAGAATAGATTTTCAATATATATAGTGATCTATTATCTTGTCCAGATCTAGATTATCATATATTATTATACTACATAATTAATAGGCCTATAGATCTACGACCAGAGTTTCTTCAAGGCATCGATTCGGGGGGGGGGGGGAGGGGGGGGGTTAAGACCCCCCCGGAAATTTTTTTACCGCCCCCACCCCCGAACGAAATGACATTTATATAATTTATATAGAAAATATATACTTTTAACAGTGTTTCCCCCCCCGAAGAAAGTTTACCCCCCCCCCCCGAAGATTTCAAGTGCCCTCCCCGGAGAAAAAAGTCTGGAAAAAACACTGTCTACGACTACTGATCTAGATTCTATCAACCTAATTGATCTAGATCTAGATCTACTTAAGTAAAGTACTACTCTTAACTTGTCTTAACGTCTTAAGTATCTAGATATATACTAACTCTGTAGCTATAATTCTAGATCTAGTCTAGAAATCTAGATCTAGACTAGATGAGCTAGATGTAGATGTGGGCCTAGATCTAGAAAACTGAAAAGTAAAATCTAGATCTAGATCTAGAAATCTAGATCTAGATTCTAGATCTGGATTCTAGACTAGTCCCTAAAGATCTAGATCTAGACTAGATATCTAGATCTAGATCTAGATCAAGATCTAGAGCTCACATCTAGATTCTGGATCTAGATCTAGATTATTCTAATCTAGATCCTAGATCTAGTCTAGCTAGATCTAGACGTCTAGATCTAGATCTAGTACTAGAAATCTAGATCTAGATTCTAGGTCTAGATTCTAGATCTCAATCTAAATCTAGATCTAGACCTAGATCTAGATTATTCTAGATCTAGATCTAGAATCTAGATTCTTCTTTAATTCTAGATCTAAGGGGTCGTCCATAAATGACGTCAAACGCCTAGGGGGGAGGGGGTTCAGACTTTTGTGACGATGTGCGACGAGGGGGAGGGGGGGGGGGGGAGACAGTGTGACGTCACGTTGTCTTAATTCCACGAATTGATTAACATGCATTTTTTTAGTTTTTAGAAAAATAAACATACTAAATACTAAATACATTTTTTACATTGGTTGCGATACTTCTAAGTTGTCAAAAGATTGTGAAATATATATTTGTTCTAATTAAATTGCCCTATAATTTGACGATGTGTGTTGTGTAGTAGACTGCCGTATATGCAAATTTGTCAATACTGCTACATGAATTGCTATTCTTTGAAGTTTACAGAGTAGCGCAGTCATAATAAAAATTTAAACCCCGTTTTCCGAATATTTTATTTAAAAACTATTTAAAGAACTTATGTTCACACTTAGGGCTGCGACTCTTGCCCTTGATGACACGCCTTGTCTCACTTAGATCATGGTGTTCATGCCGATAGCTCATGCTTGTTGAACGATCTAGTGGAAAAATAACTAGTACGATCAGTTCCAAGGTCGAGATCACGTGATTATTGTAGGTGCGGCCAAAAAAAAAGCGGATGTGTGTAGGGTCAGCTTGTGATGCGTGTTTATTCGATCAACTTAAATAGGCCTACACGTGTCTTGCTGAATCAACTTTGTCTGTGTGAGGCTTTTCAATTGAAAGGTAGATCTAATAATCTCATATATACTGCTTAAAAATCGACAGTTAATGATGGATAAAAATAACATGTTCCAATGTATTTTTGATGCCTATGTGCTGGCATATCCTAAAAAGAGTAAAAAGATTTGCCAAGAAGAAGTCGTTGAAAAGTGGACTCAACTAAAAAGCGATTCAGATCTTCACTTGAAAGCGGACGTCTGGCTGCAAGAGCTAAAAGCAATTGCTGCCGCTAAAAAAGGCTCACTTTTGACGTTTTGGGCCAAACAAACATCTGTATCTACATCTACAAATAAGAAAACACCCTATGATTTGGCAAAAGAAATACCTAATACTAATAAGTCACTGAAGTCAGATGAAAAAGTGAACGATGCTCAATGAAGTCAGTGATTTCAAACCCTCTACCAGAAAACTATCAACATTTAAGCAGGCTACAGTCCAGATAAACTTACAATCAGAGATTGAGATTCTGAATTCTGATCTAGTCGGCTTGTATGAGCGACAAACTCGCGGAATGTTAACGCAAGAACAGAACATGGAGCTTAAAGAAAAGAAACAGAAAAAGGGTGATTTGAAAAAAAAAAAGCTAAAGAGGAAGATATCTGATCAAATAAGATCTCAGAAAGCTCGAAATGAAAAGAAAAGCAAACTGAATGCTTTGTTTGAAGAGAATCCGGAGCTACGCGTCACTTTGAATGTTAGATCTAATTCTGGCAGGCCAAGGATTGAAAAAGATCAATCATTTTTATTGGAAACTATCATAAACATTGCTATGCATGGATCTCGTGTAGAGGAGGCAGAACGAAGTCTACAGGACTATTAAAACATTAGATCAGCTAAATGATCAGTTAAAACAGGATGGGTTTATAATTAGTAGAAGTGGGCTGTACCTTCGACTGTTGCCAAGACGTACTTCTTCTCATGAAGGGCAACGACATGTATCGACAGTCCCAGTAAAACTGATAAGAGCGCAAAACGATTGCCATGCAAATCACATTGATCGCTTGTTTACAGCGGCAACACTACATCACCTAGAAGAGTTAGCTTCCATGCTTGGACCGAATGGGGTATGCTTTATAAGTCAAGATGACAAGGCCCGCGTTCCGCTTGGGTTGACAGCAGCTAAAAAACAGAGTCCATTGCTCATGCACATGGAATACAGGGTGAGCTTGCCTGACCATGACTAGGTTGTGGCTGCTGGGCATAAGCTGATCCCTTCAGTTTATGCGGGGATAAAAATTCAGCCCAACGCCTTGGGAAATCGAGAAGCTGTTGGATACTCCGGCCCAAAATACATATCAATCAGATCTGGTAAACATTCCTCATCCACAGCGCTTAGTCATGGACTTGATTTTGAAAAATTACTTACTTTACATGAATTTGATGATATCACAAAGAGCGGTGTGGATCAAATTGTTAAACCAATATTAGTGTTGACGGTTGATGGTGGCCCAGACGAAAATCCTAGGTATTAAAAGGTGATCAAAGTTGAGGTACACCACTTTCTCAATCAGAACTATGATGGTTTGTTCATTACTACAAATGCACCAGGAAGAAGTGCATTTAATAGGGTTGAAAGAAAAATGGCGCCACTTAGCAATGAGCTCACAGGATTAGTTTTACCCCATGACCACTACGGCAGTCATTTGGATGAAAGAGGAGTCACAATAGACACATATTTAGAGAAGAAGAATTTTCAGTTTGCCGGAAACACACTGGCAGAAATATGGTCACACTTGACAGTGGATACATTTCCTACAGTGGCAGCATACATAGATCCAGAAGAGTCGGAACTCCTTGAAACTTCTCTGCTCTCAAAAGATCAGCGTTGGCACGATATTCATGTGAGAACTAGCCAGTATTTGACACAGATCGTTAAATGCATGGATGGTAAATGTTGCTCAAAGCCAAGAAGCTCGTATTTCAGCGTAATAACTTATAGATCTCTTCCTCCACCTTTACCAGTCGCCCAAACAGGCTGTGGACTAGCAATACCTGAGCGTTCAACAGATGGCTCTTCACATCTCTTTTTGTTGCTAAAAGTATAAAAGTGGATGAAATCCTTCCCCGCTCTTCAAATCCTTAGCGCACAACCCCTTATGATTTGTATTGTCCGTCTGTTCAATCCGTGATCAGCGACAGGGTTTGTAAGAAGTGTCATTCATACTTCTCTTCATTGGTTATGCTGCGCAATCATTCTTTAACTCACAAACAGGAATCATCAATTGTGCTATTACAGCGCATCAGGCCTCTGAGAGTTGCTGCACGTCGCCAACTTGAACTGATGGTTTTAACTGCCAATGAAATTAATGGTGAGAGTGTAGATTGGATAGAAGAGGAAGACCTTGATGCAAAGGGAATTCCCATTCCATACAGGAAAAAAATCAATTCCGTCCCTGTGTATTCAATAAAGGAACATTTTAATTCTCCATGGGAGAATGAATAAGCTTAAAATTAAATATCACAACTTTTAATTTAGGATTGCCATATTAATACTGTTGTAAGTAGTTTTTTGTAAATACTTCTGTTAATGATCTTGCTAAGATTTAGAAATATTAGATTTAGAAAGATTTAGAATGTATATAGATATCGTCGGTTAAGTATAACTTGTTACTGATATTATTATTTAATCCTTTTTAATAAAATTTCTATAAAACTTGCTTAGATTTAAGTCAGTGTGAAAGTATTTCTTGTCCTATTTCAACATCCTCTTCGCTAACAGCAAAACACGCAATTTAATAATCTAGTGGAGAGTCTTTACTATTAAAAATCAATTACATTTATATTGCTTTGTGAGAGATGACATCCGTTAAGTCCATCATATAGGCTACAATGAAATATTCTAGGAAAATTAAAGGTCTGGGCATACTGTTACATTTAAATAATTTGCATATTATACTCAATATATAGTTATTCTCACGTGTGTCGTCATGTCTGCAAGAAATACCTACATTTACATTAAATATTTAAACAAAAAAATTAATCTTATCAGCTTTAACATCACTCCACTGTATTACTGTTTACCTGCTGGTGCCACGAATGGGTCATGCGGGTGCGCGGACCTTTGACCACAGGTGCTTTGACCATAGGGGGTTTGACCATAGGGGGTATGACCACGAATGGGTCCTGCGCGCTCATTTTTAATGCTGTGTCAACGAGCGGTAATTTTAAAGGGGTAAAAACACAGCAAATTTAAAACTTAGGATAAATTGTAAATTAGGGGAGGTGGGTTGGAGTGTGACGTCATTTTAGGGGGGGGGGGGTCTGAATTTTTGTGACGATGTGTGACGTAGGGGGGGGGGAGGGGGTAAAAAAATGGCTTAAAAGCGTGACGTCGTTTATGGACGACCCCTAACTAGATATTTAAAATCATAAATGTATTTGGGCCCAATAAATTAATACAATTTTTAAATGTTTACCAAAATGATCAGTAGAATCTATTACTCAGATAAGACTGTAAGATCTGCTATGAATTTTATTTTTAAGTCGGACTAACCCGAGAGTTGAAAGCTGATCCATTAAAACAAATCGGGCGACCAAGGAAGTGAGAACGTCTGCTACAAATGATTGCTCCTTTTTATAAATATTATAGTATCGATAAAACGACACGAGCACACTCCGGACACTATTTATCAAGTTATATATAACTACTCAAATTTTGATTGCAGCTTAGTTTGATCTGCTAAATAAATGCTAGATATAAAAATTATCTACATAACTTTAATTATTTTTAGTTATTAATTTTGCATAAACTATTACTACGGTTATTGATGCTAGTACTCGATTTCTTTTTGGGTGTCGATACCGCAAGTTTTAATTGCCACATTTTAAATCTGTTGACGATTATGTGTTGGATCCAATTTTATGTTAACCAGTGTCTCTACTATTAATTATGGAATTAATGTTAAATCTAATTGCTTCGTATTTGGGTTCATAAGCTGTTTAATCTGTACCGGAGCTATAATATTTTGTTGCAACTATTTTATAAAGGCTAAATATTTTAATAATTATTTATGTATTATAGTTGCAGGTTGTATCATCCCTTCTGGCATATGCATCATCAATACTCAAAACTAGAAAAGATTAATTATGGTAATGATGAACGTTATTTGTTTTTCAGAAAGAACACTGTTTCTTTTAAGCACTTCTTCGGGGGGGGGATGGTTATGGGGTGGGGGTGTAAAGCTTCCTTAACAGGCAAGTCTCTCTCCACCCCACCCCCCTCCCTTTAACTTTCTTGTAAAGAATGTAGGCCCATAGTATTTGCCAATTCAAACGGCGAAAATACTACATCCCTCTACACTATGATAGGAGCCTTCATATGAGGTAGTCACGTGGTTAAAGTACAAATATTCACTAACAAGTAACGTCTCACACTGAAACTTTACCATTTAGATCAGAGATACTGGTAAAACTGGCCGTACATTTTAACGCCGTCACTTACGCTATCAGTCAGTCTGTTGCAAATTCAGTCTTGACCACATAATTATGTCAAGTCCTACCCCTTCAACGGTTGCATATACGCTGCTGAATGAAGTACAATAACACTACAAGACGCCAACTTCCCCTCCAAGGACAGGTAACGGGGAGGGGACGGGTGGTGACGTGTTGTGCTATTCTACCTCAGCCGCCCACTTACCTAACTGTATGGGAACTGAATGATTTAGACTTTAGAGCAGCACAAACCTGTATTTGGACTAGGAATCAATAACTTGACTGTAAATTTGGTTTTGTTTCCTCTTGCATCATAACGTGTATGTCATTGTTTCTAGTGTGTTGGACAAATAGTATTTACTACAACTACAATTGTATTTATACATCACAAGCATGTACGATAATAAAATGAAAAATGAAAAATGTTCAATAATGTTCTATAAACACTTGCCTTTTATTCATTGTCTCTTTTTATTTATAAAACTAGAAATAGAAGAATAAAACTAAATCAGTTGAAGGACAAGATCATTTTACGGACAGTTTCTAAATTGTTGCTAAAAACTACTGACTAGTTATATAATAGGTTAAATGTGTTAAATGTATATACGAACTTATGTTTACACTCTTAACTAGTCTTAACATAACTAAATATAGATCAACCACTTAGTCAATAACTATTATATTATTTATTTCTTAATTGGGTTTTAGTTGTGTTTTTAATACATTGATCGCAATTAATACGCATACATGACACACCTACAAATCTAGATCTACTTTATAAAGACTTATAAAGTAAGACATCAACAAGAAACTTAAACTTTACCTTCAGCTGCGGATAAATGTTTTCAAAATGGCCGTCCACATAGGTACTACAAAATTCTATTTATCTATATCTATGTATATAAAAAGCAATGTCGAATCTGCAATTAATAAAAGAGACTGGCTTAAACGTTATGAAACTAATGAGGACTTTTGTAAGCAACAAAATTATATCAAACTGCTCGTGCGTAGGTCGAAGAACGAGTATTTTAATAAGCTGCTGTCTGGCAAATCTAATTCCAAATCTATCTGGGCGGCCATAAATCAAATAATTAGAAAAAAAACGCACATGCAATACAGCGGGACATAGCCAGATATCTGCTGATGACTTCAACAATCATTTTATATCATATGTAGCGTTCAACACAGATGCTGATTACACAATCAGTGAGGATCTTAAAAAAAATTGTAATTCTGCTCACCGTGGTAGGACAGAGCTGATTATTCCGCTTCTCACTGTTCATGAAGTTTATGTTAGCCTAAGATCTCTTAAACCGTCTACAACAACTTCGTTTGATGATATCTCTAATAAAGTATTGAAGATTTCAGCTCCAATAATCTCTGAAGTTTTAACCTATATCTATAACCTCTGTATTGTCAAGCAATATTAACCGAAACATTTTAAGCATGCTAAGGTTATACCACTACACAAAAAGGTAACATCCAAGATGCTAATAACTACAGGCCAATTTCTATACGTTCTTCCCTCTCCAAGCCACTATAAATACATATAAACAAATGCGTGTCAAACTACCTAGAAAAGCATAAGCTTTTCCATAGTAATCAGTCTGGGTTTAGAAAGTTTCACTCTTGTCACACTGCTTTGATTAAGATGAACGAAAACTGGCTTAAAAATATTAACAAAAACCTATTCTGTGGCACGCTGTCCGTCGATTTCAGAAAAGCCTTTGATTCTATTGATGACACCATACTTCTTAAAAAACTAATTCCATACACATTCCACGAATTTACAGTTGCGTTACTTCACTCCTTTTTATCTAACCGATCTCAACGCGTGTTTCAACTTAATACCATCTCTTCACAGAAATATGTCAATATAGGGGTTCCACAAGGCTCAATCTTAGGTCCTTTACTTTTTTTCTTTATACATTAATGATCTAGCTTTGCACATCGACACAGGTCAGTGCGAGATGTTCGCTGATGATACTTCGTTAAATGTCTTTGCAGACAGTGCTGAGTCACTCAGTTACAAACTTCAAACTTGCGCCAATCAGCTTGTTACATGGACAAAATTTAACAAAATGAAACTTCACCCCGATAAAACCAAGTCCATGATTATTACAACTCATCAGAAACGACTTCGTCTTTCATCCACATCATTACGCATTACTATAGACAATACAAACATTGAACAGGTTAACATTTACAAATGCCTAGGATTGGTTATAGGTCACAACCTCACTTGATCCGATCATATTCCACTTCTAAGAATGTCCTTATTAAAGACAACTTTTCAGCTAGCAAGTATAAAGAACTTTCTGGACTATAGGAGCAGGCTAGTTTTTTATGAAGCGTGTATTCAATCTATGTTAGATTATGCTTCTGTAGTGTGGAGCGGCAGCTTTATTACTAAGCAGCATCCTCTTCTACCTTTACAAAAAAAAGGCTATAAAACTGTTTACTAGCTTGTCTAGTAGTCTGGATTCTTTAATTACAACTAAAATACTTTAATTCAATAAAAAGATAATATATACTTAATCATTTTTTATATAAAATATTCCTTGAAACAGCTCCCTCTTATTTATCAGACCTATTTTCTTTTAACATTAAATTAAATCGTCGTCTTAATTTACCGTTTCCATATACAATTTTTGTCCAAAAACATAGCTTCGTCTACTCTGGTTCGAATTTGTGGAACAATCTTCCTAATTAAATAAAGCTATCTAGATCTGAAAATATATTCAAATCTAAACTAAAACAATAATTATTTAATGACCTCTCAAACTGACTCATTGAAACATTTCTCATTCTATTATATTCTTTTTTAAATCTCATTTTGTATTATAACTATGTCAAATTTGTAAAATTATTTCTTTATTCCACATTTTTAGTGCTATGTTACTGCTATGTCGTTACCATGCAATTGCTGTTACTGAATTGTTGTTTTATTTGTTTATTTTAAAACGGCCACTGTGAAAAAAGGCCTTCGTGCCTACGATTGTTATTGTAATTGAATAAATTGAAATAAATTGAATGTATATATATATATATATATATATATATATATATATATATATATATATGTGTGTGTGTTTGTGTGTGTGTGTGTGTGTGTGTGTTTGTCTTTGATGCATTACTACACCGTTCATCCAATCGCAATGAAACTTTTGCAAGTTGTTGAGAATACTCCTGGAGAGGTTTCTGCAAGAAAAAAAAATTCTAATTCGCAGGGGTGGCGCCCCGGCAGGGCGTGATTTGTTTTACTCGCTATACGGTATATACAAAAAGAAGGCGATTGCAGTTTGACACCGTTCATCTAAACGCCGTCAAACTTTGTGTAGATGATAAGAAAACTCAGATGAGGTTTCTGTAAAATAATCTTTTTTTTTAAATTTCGCAAGGGCGGCGCCCCAGGAGGATGTTATTTTTCTCGATATACGATACATTAAAAAATTAAAGTCAGATGCGGATCTACACCGTTTACATGAGTTCCATAAAACTTAAAGGAGTTGATTAAAACTCCCGATAATGTTTCTGGGTGGGGGCGGGTGGGGTGAAATTTAATTTCATACGGGCGGCCAAGGCAATATTCAATTTGGCTCCCTGGTCTTTCCCGTGACTGCTATGGCGACTACGTTCGTTCTGATAGACAAAGGATAAGATGGGACTTTGGGCGTTACAATTGCTCACTAAATTAAATCAGGCGTTTCCGCTGGCGCCCTGGTAGGGTGCGATTTTCTTGCGAACAATTATTTCAGTTTCGGCCGCCAAAGGCCCAACTGGGTCGCTGAGGGCCCTGTAATACTTTGTTTAATAATCAGAAAAATTAACCAAGTTTAAACTGGGTTTTTTCGCTATGTCCGTTAAAAAACTAAACAGTTGCGACACTTTGCGAATGATGCAATTAGCATCTATTTTTAGACGGTCAAATGATATATTGAGATCGAGCTTCAAATAATACACCATTAGTAAAGCTAACGAATCGCATCAGTCACACTGATGTTAATAAGAAGTCAAATATTTTTTTACGCGTTAAAGAAAAAAATCATGTTGATTTGTGTAACTTTATAGCATGACGCAATCTGCGTCATTGTTTCAGGGTACTATGTGGTGCTCTGGGTTATCCCTTGATTACCAAGATTAATGTTCTGAATCCTGTGAAAATGTAGGTTCCCTTTAGAATTTAAATTACTGATGTGCTGAAACGTGATTATACAATTATAATTCAACCAATTATTGTGGAATAAAATGAGTAATTAAAATGTCACAATGATAATTACCCTTTGACGATCTCAATGTCAATTGTGTTGTGAGCTCTCAGTGTTTACAGACAGCTTTTATTCTATCACAGACTATCTATAGTGATGTCAACAGTTTTAATTCTATCACAGACTATCTATAGTGATGTCAACAGGTTTATATAGTAGAAAAGCTGTACCAAGTACGATCCGCGTGACTAGTAGAGGGACTCTCAAACTTCAGCTTGTTGGGTTGATGGTCTTATCAGAGGTGTAGCAGATCCTTCCAAGCGCCCGGGGATAAACGTTCAATTTGGCGCCTCCCCCCCCCCCCCCCAATATATTTTTTTATATTTATAATGCATAACTGCAGCTTAAATGAGCTTTACATTTTTTCCAACCAATTTTGGCGCCACCTAGGGTCGGCGCCCGGGGACAAATGTACCCCCGCCCCCTAACTACGTCTCTGGATTTTATAGTTGCACGTTTCAGTGTTGTACGGCGGGTTAGAGCACACGTTTAACAACGGACAACACGTGAGCAAACTGGACAAAAGATTAATTTAAAAATAATCCATTGATATGACTATATAATCCTTTACGTGACAATATCATGAAACAGAAGTACGCTAGTTTATCTTCATTATAAGAAGTGACGTCTGAATGAGGGCTTTACTACATTAAATTCTCACAAAGTTGATGTTTGGAGTTGGTCAATGGGGCGATCGCTCTTTGACACGCTCGTGAAGTGGGTATGCGTAAATTAAAGATATATAGAAAATAAAAAAAAAACACGTGATAAAGAAAAAAACAGCGTTCAGGTAACAATTACTATGACATATTTCTGTTCATCCTATTTTGTTAAAACCAACGTTTGACAAATATAATGTAATTTTATTTAGGTTTAAATCTATCGACATAATATGATAATGGTTTGCAGAATAAATAAACGCTGTTGTTTACACAACGGAAGCAGGGTTAAGGAAATAGTTAACAGCACAATGAAACTGAATTGGTATAATTTAATATTTACACTGTTTATGGCATCATACACATCGGTTTGATCTGACGAAATGGAAATTCCGACCACCCCCCTTAACAAAATGGCCGTGTCCCTAACGCCTCGTTCTGGACTAGTTATACTATACATTATATAAAAGTTTTATTTTAAAAAATAGTTGATATGATATGACATACTTGCATATATAAAGGAGGTTAACAAAACAGCATTAGATAAACCAGTACCTATTTTTAATAAACGCGTGCAATATATATATATATATATATATATATATATATATATATATATATATATATATATATATATATGTATATATATATATAGTACCGGCTACTTGTTTATATAATGATATTGTTTAATTAATTATTTTTTAAATGTATATTTTAACATGCCATGTTAATTAGAATGATTAATATTCTTTAAAGAAAGATTATGTTACCAAAACAAATAGAACCCCTGAAATTGACAAAGTAAAATTAGAAAGTTGCCACTTAATTAACCCGCCCCTTTTAACGTATCTCCACATAAACAAAGATAACAACTGTAACATCAGCGCCCTTTTTGATCGGGAATTTCTCATCTTAAAAATAAAATCGGAGGTTATCGGTATTGAGAACAACAACAAAAACGCAATGATAGCATTGGAAGAATTACACGTACAAGTCAGTCTTACATTTAGACTTGACTAATTAAATCACGTAGGCCTGTTTGTAGATAGGGTATGTTTCAAATAGTTCAGTAACACTCAACGCCATTAATGTGAATTATGAAGAGCTACTGATACTGAGTATTTATTATTGCTCTGGATCACAGACATCAATTACATTATGACTAAAAGAACTATGCTTTCGTATTCCAGTAACACTCAACGGCGTCAATGTGAATTAGGAAGAGCTACTGATAATGAATATTTGTTATTGGTCTGGATCACAAACAGCAATAAAATTATGACTAAAAAAACTATACCTTCGTATTGTCATTACGAGAAACTGGCACCATTTAAGAGAAAAGCGCATAGTGATATCATGTCACCTTTCCACGTAAAAATCTAAAAATTAGATACACTATCTATTATAACAAATGTATCACATGCTATGTAGCTAAAATTTGATAATTAATATATTTCATACGTATGTAAAATATATATGGGTCTCGATAAATCTTACCGAGCATCGTGTACGATTTGATACAAAATATCCCTGCTATTGCACATGTCTAAATACAAAAGTTGGACAAATATTGGTCATTAAATTAAGAAATGGCTGCATGTTCTGATGTACGATTGGAAAATTGCGATCTTGTTTTCAAGCTGCACGGCTAGACCAATACGTTTTAATGGGTACCAGGCCTTTCTCACAAATGTTTGACCCTATGGAAAGTAAGTTTCCAAGGGCAGGGTGTTGCCCATGTATCAGGCCCTTCTCTCACACAACCGATGGACCCAATGAAAGACGCAATTATATTCTATGGAAGTTCTACGATTAAAATCTAGTTGTCTTTGCATTTTGTTTTAAATATAAGAAGTCATAAATTTCGCAACGCTATTACACGACTATTATTTTGTGATTAAGTATTAAACTAGTTCGCTATAAGTAAGCTAGTGGGCTTAATAGGGTTGGATGCGCTAGGCTAAACGAACACCAGCTTTTATTCTACTACATTTGAAGGAAGTGGGTATTTGTAAAATATTGTTTTCCATTCGTCTATATTTTACTGATGATTTCCTGTGTTACATTCTATGATGTAAAAGGAACTTGATGTCATTTTTTAAAATTATCGTGCTGTGTATCTTAACAAAACACCAAAAGTTAAAACGAGTTATGATTATGACTAGTATCCGATGTTTGTTGTAATGTTATTTTTGTTTCAGTTTGGTGTAGTATGTTATGTTGAACAATGTGCTGTATTGTATATGTTGTAGTTGAAGATAATGGTATGCGTGCGAGCGGGTGGTACAAATAATTTGTGTCGATAACAAAAATGTTACTTTGTAGCGTTAATGTGAATGTGTAAATAGATCAATCACAATCGAGCCGTTAGATTAATTATGAGGTGGCTCTAATAATAAAATATTGTTTTACATCATAGATAATTATATTGTTATGTTAATAAAATGACTTGTTCTATTCATTTGTCTAAACATTGCGAGGAAATGGCATTTAGAACCAAAAAGCACAAAGTGACATTATATTATCGTGTGCACTTTATAGTTCAAAGATCATATAAATTATATTATCAAAGTTAGTTTTGCTGTCACATGTCTTGCGATTGAAGTTTAATAAAAAATATATTTCATACACATTAAAAACTATTTTTCAAAAAATTATATAAATTAGTTGGCAAGCGCTAAAATTATGTTTTAGCTGTCAAAAATTAAAACAAAATATTAAGTATCGATGTTTACGTGTTTTGAATTTTTTAATTCAAGATAAACTATTGAAAATAATTTTTGAAATAATTAATAATATTAATGCATTAATCCATTCCAAGTTTTGGAAAAACTTCCGCCAGGGAGAGATTAAATTTTCCAAACTAAATGAATTTTTGTGAGCATGATTCCCATTGATAAAAAAAAACATGGCGGCTGCTTGTTTCTTGACTTCGCTTCAACATTTTAAACTCAGCATGAACTCCCAATATGAAACAAATATACACAATTTCAAGTCTATTGTGTACGTACGGTTGGGAAGTAATGTATTTGCATTCAATTCTGACAGAAACGTTTTGTGGCGGTAAGTAAATTAATTATTTTTTAAAGTTAATGAATGTAAGCCATAGCAAGCCTAGCCCCAGGGGACATTACTCCTACTGAACGATTTGGTAAACAGTAAACAGTAGTAAACACTTATCTAGACCGTCTAGTTCGATGACAGAATATTACCAAAATAATAGATCTAAAATCTAAATCTACCTGATCCTTAATATATAATATCTGTAGGCCTATATCTACTTTATTACTTTATTAACTATACTGATCCATCTAAATAAAAAGTGACAGTACACTACACTTCAGTACAGTGATTAGATTTAGAATCTACTAGTCTAGATCTAGAATCTAACTAGATTGAATTCTAGATCTAGATTTTAGATTCTAGTGTGTGTTTGTAGAGTAGAGAGCTAGTTGTGAGTTATCTAATCTATCTAGTTACTCTAGTCTAGTACTACCTATCTCAGTCTGTCTAGTCTAGTGGGGTCTAAGCTAAGGCAAGGCCTAAAAGGTGTGTAGAGTTGTAAATGTAGACTGTAGAGTTCACTAGTGTAATAGAGAGTGACTGTAGCATTGCTAGTGTCAGTGTGAGTTGTAGTAACAATCTACACAGTAATTTAGAAATTTTGTCTAGGACTTAGTGTGAGCGGGTGAATGGATTATTTTGTATTACTTTATTTGGTGCGATTCTTAGTGCATGGTGTTCCAATGGGGAACGGCCACGGGGTCCCCACCCGAAGCGGTCAGTATAAATTGACCGCTCGGAGTGATTTTCTTCCTTTTTTTTTGACCCGCGGCGAGATGTAGGTCGGGTCAGGTTTCTGTGTGGGCGCGTGGCGCACCGCACGCGTGGAGGTATTTGTTTTTTTATACTTTATCTTTATGTGATTTGTATGAATGCGACTGCCGATGTTTCTCGTTTTCTTTCATTTTCGTTTTAAACGAGATAGTGAGCATCGGCATGTCTGGTATGCACGTGGTGTGTTATTTTGAGAGATTTTAAATTTGTGTTTTCTAAACCCGTGGCGTGTGTTTCGGACCACGTGGTTTAGGCCAGTGTGTTTAGGAATGTTTCCTAAACTAGTGTGAATGCGTGTGTGCATTTACTTGATTGTTTTATGATGTGTTATTGACTAGGATTGGCTTAGTCAATAATCAGTTGTTTTAGACAGTAATTAGAATAGTATATTTTAGTTGCCTCGAGTTTTAGGTTGTTTAAAATTAATGTGTGTGCTGTTTCGTGCAACGTCATGTTGAGTATCGCTTGCTTTGTGTCTGCCTTCATTGGGGCCTTAGCGGAGTGTGTTAACTTTAATGTTATCAATATGGATATTGTTTATGTAGACCAGGGGTCTCCAAACTTTTCAGTCCGTGGGCCGCATTGACTATCGAATTTCAGTTCGGGGGCCAGTTTCTTCAAGGCATGTCTTTAATTTTTCTGGGCAAAGTTCCTCAGCCATCACCAACAAACGGTTTTTCCGTGGACAAAAAGATCTCCGCGGGCCGGATAAGAGGACATCGCGGGCCGCATGCGGCCCGCGGGCCGTAGTTTGGAGACCCCTGATGTAGACCAATGGCTTCGGGCTGCTCCTTTTGGAGATTGGTTCTACAATGAACTTGTTTTACACGTTATTTTTAAGTTGCTAGTTCTTGGTTAGTCAGTGGTTAGTTGTTTTTGAGAATTGCTTTTAGAATTGTAATAGTAGGGATTAGTTTTACTCGAGGCTTTAGCTAGATAGAAGTAGTAGGTAGCATTTTGAACTTGTGTATATATTTATGTATATATCTGCCATTACCATGCATTTTTCTTATGTTTTCCTTTTCTTTTTCTCTCCCCCCCCCCCTTCCAGTGAGGTTGCTTGGGCAACTTGGCTGGGTGTTTTGTTATATATGAATTGTTTTGTTTGGTGTAAAAAGTTTGTTGTGTACGTATTGTTTTGTACGTAACGTATTGTACGTAGTGGTTTTACGTAGTGTTTTGTTTGGTGTGGACTTTTGGATGTCGAGAATGGATGAAGGGAGGTTTCTGTGTGTCAGGGCCTGGACCACCCTAGACATCATAAGTCGGCGCAACACCATCAAATGGTCAAACGTAATGTTGTGTTTGGTTTAAAAAGTTTATTGTGTACGTATTGTTTTCTACGTAATGTATTGTACGTAACGTATTGTACGTAGTGGTTTTACGTAGTGTTTTGTTTGGTGTGGACTTTTGGATGTCGAGAATGGATGAAGGGAGGTTTCTGTGTGTCAGGGCCTGGACCATCCTAGACATCATAAGTCGGTGCAGCACTATCAAATAGTCGAACGTAGTGTTTTGTTGCGTTGAGTTCTGTTTGTTTTGTATGTCTTGAGTGTTTTGTTTTGTCTAGAGTCTAGTTTTTTTATAATTACTTTTGGTTCCATATTTTGTTAAATAAATTTTATATTATTGTTAAAGATTTTTGTTTTCATTATTTAGACTAAGGTTAGGTTATTAACCAGTCTGGGTTTCGCCGGGCTTGCACTGACCGGACAGTAGTTAGTTAGATAAGCCTAGAAGGGTAGATTTTAGGTATTCCCCCCCTAGCAGGGCTTACATTAGTGTCAGTAAATATTGTAACATACACTTATTACTCTAGCCCACAATCTAGATCTAATATGGAATGTAGCAAAATGTATCTATATCCACTTATTTAGTAGGCCTTGTACCCTGGTTATTAGATCTAGAGTTTAGATTTAGTAATAGAATCTAGGCTTAATGTTCAATATATATTGACCTAAAGTAGTTATAGATTTAATGGCTAGTTTTAGATTCAATTTTATTTAAAATTTTGATTATGTATAAAAATGTAAACTATAATTATAAGAGAAAATTCTGAGTAGAAATATTGTGTGTACATCTATTTTTCAGATTACCTGAATTAAATCAGTGCATATAGACCTCTAGAAAGAAGCCTACAAAAGTTCCAGGAAATACAAGATGAAGAGTATAAGTTGCCATTATGAAGGGATAATGTAGTCAGCACTATGCCCAGCCATTTTTTTGCTTTCCCCAATGTCAAGTACCCATCAGAGCTGAGTGTTCTCAGGTACGTCCTACAGGGCACAGACACAAGTCCAAACCGAGATCAGAACTCGAGACTTTTGGGCTAGCAGCCAAACGCTCTAATATTCAGCCACACCATCCCATAAGTGTAAATACATTTATCATTCCTATTTCAAGTGACATAACTAACTGGTCCTTTACAATAAATGACATAACATTTTCAATTTTCTAATTATTTATTTAAAATGTTTAACATATAAATGAAACTATTTCAATATCATATGGCTTAATTATTACATCATCATAAACAAATAATAAAATAATACATACATGTAACAATTTAAATTCTTGGGAAAATCAAGATTACTTTCTCAAAGTTGACTGTGATCATGTAAAATGAAAAAAGGTGATATTCAATTAGCTATTTATTCTTCAGTTTTGCTTTTTTCCACAATATTGACAGGATTGCATTGTTCTTATTATTGTGAAAAGCAAAAAGACTAATCTTAACAATATTATTATATATATCTAATATACATTGATTATTAATTTAATAAATGTGTACCTTGCACAACCTGATCACACATAAACCATACAATTTACATAGTGAAAAGATTTTATTTTTGTCATCCTTTGTTAAATGTACATGAAAGAATAGATCATTGTGTATTATATATACTTATAATACTTACATATTAAATTTAATAAGTATAATAGTTTGAAATATATAATTACAGACATGATGAACCATAAATATTTTATATTTCATTCCCAGGTAAATGGAACTTCATGAAAATTGAAGAAAAATTAATAACAAGTAAATGAACATTGTGTTATGGGTTGCTGCAATCACCACTTTAATGGAATTTTTCAAGGACATTTTAAATGTAGTAAAGAAATAGGGATGCCACTACAAATCTGGTGATGTCTTTTATATCTACACAAAGGAATCAGTTACTAGCTTGTGCAAGCATGAAAAAAAACATGTATAATGTAAATGTAACTGTAAGTATTCATATATATATATATAAACATCTTAAAATGTACAGTAAATTAAGTGAATATATTATTACACTCCAAAATTGTAATTGAGTGTTTTCGGAATGTTTAATAGTTTTGTTTCTTTTCAGTTACATTTGAACAAAGCTATGAAAGTAACATTTCTTCATGTGAATGTCCCGGAGGAGCTAACAGGTGTTCACAGACTGCTGTACAGTTTTGCCTTGTTTATTCACCAAGAAACCCCATTTACAACTTATGATAATGCTGTTTAGGATCTGCTTTTGGTTTCTCAACGCCAGAAATACAAGATGAAGAGTATAAGTTGCCATTATTTTAAGATATTTTTTTTTAGAATATACTGATTTTGAGATAATTTTGATTTTGATGAAATTGATTGTTTAAAAAAAAATCAATGTCTAAAATAAAGTCCAAATAAATAAAATATATTAGATAACATTAGGCCAATGAAACAAAACCCTCATATTTGCCATAATTATTTATATCAAACAACATAATTAAAATACTAATGTATGTAAAATTAGTTAATTGCATACAATTTTCTTTACCACATTGACAATTTGTATTTAAGATGAAATTATATGCTCATAATTATATCAAAATAATAATAAAATCACAGTACATAAGTATTACAGTAACTTTAATTGAGCAATAATATTTAACTTAGTGCATCTGTCATACATTAATCAACTGTTTTTTTTTTTAATTAATATAATTTATTTCAGCAGATTCTTGTATATTATCAAAAATTATGAATACAAAAATATTCCCATATAAATAATTGTATGTAATGTTCAGATTAATACAATGCATTATATATGTAGTTCAAATGTACACCATGTATTCATGTATGTTTAATTATGCATTTGTTTAAATTGCCACCAGTGATACATATATATATACATATTAGGCTTCATGTATGTATCACTGGTGATACATGTGTGTGTGTGTTTGTACAAAGTTAAAACATTATTTTTGTATTAGAGGAGTTTGTAGATTAACAAGACAAGCAATTAATTGAAACACAATATCTATGTGTGTTCTCATCTCGTGGGGTATGCATGTTAATATTTTAAAAACTTTAATGCGATGAATTGCACGCTCTACATGTATCCTACATCTTGCAATACTTTTTGTACATTTTATCTCATTCTCTGTAAATTGGTGATTACTTAAAAAAGGAGGGATATTTACAGACACACCTGGGGGAAGTATATTTTGAATAAAAAATCCTTTATCGGCTAAAATTAAATCTCCTGGTTGAAAATATCTTATTACACCTGATTTGAGAAAAATTTGTTTATCTGATAATGATCCAAGAAACATATTTGAAACAAATGAGATGTAGCCATTAGGGCAGATGCCAATTAGCACCTTAAATGTGTTTTTAGATTTATAAGAGGAATATGTTGCTCTTTGCTTATCCATCTCTTTTGGGATTTCAATTTGTACTTCTGTGCAGTCAACTACCATTCTACAATTGGGATGTTCTGAAAAGCTTGAAGGTGCAGCTTTTCTTATTTTATTCATACTAGGGTATGTTTTTATTAAAATATTTTTAAATAACAATTCATGCATTAAGTATGCAAATGTAAGAAAAATGTTACGTATAGTATTAATGCTGCAATTAAAAAGAGATGACAAATGAAGATATGTGTAGTCTTGTCTTAGTTTCATTAATGTGATAAAAATCTGATCCTCTAAGGATATGGTGTTAAAATTAACTTTCCAGCCACAGTAATAATGAATGTTATCTGTAAAACGGCGAACAATGTTACACAAAACCATAAACATATCTTTTGAATTAATACCAGTTTCCATTTTAAGTATAGATTCTGTCACATTAAGCCAACTATAAATAGGTTTTTTCAATAATTCAGATTGGAGTACTTTAATTTCTACCTTAGCTGACTCTAAAGATTTTTGAAGCATTGCATTTTGAGCTAGAAGAGACCTTTGATCAAATTTCCATTCTACTTCTTTATTACTGCAGGTAGAATTTAAAGATGGCACTGGCAAAGTATGAATAGGTATATTTTCAGATATACATGAAGATGTGTCATTTAATGGTAAATTAACAATGCATTGATAATTATTTTCATTTTGACAATATGGTGGTAGGCTTACATTTTTTTAAAATGAAGATGGATTTACAAAATATGGCAAATTTTCAATTTCTTTTAACTTAGATGTTTTAATGCTTGCAACACATAAACTGGAGGGAGTATGAAGTGATGTTGAAGACATTGTGTATGTATTGGAAATACAATGTAAAATGTCAGTAGCAGATGCATTGAAAAGCGGTAATAAATTAGATTTTATAGAGCTAGAAGGTACATCTTCAGGTTGGAACATCAATAAGGAAACTGGACAATTCTTCTTCTCCCCATTCATAAAATGGCAGGAACACACTCTCGAAAATTTCGTAGGTTCTCTGTCAGGTCGACTAAATAAACATAATTTACATTCATTAACATTTGTTTAAAGCAAAGTCAATCTAATAATTTTATGAAAATTAGTAGAATATTGACATTTTACATAGAATCAACGAAGTTAATGGTTTTGACATTAGGGGTCATCCATTCATGTTGTCCACAATTTTTTTTGGATTTTGGACCCTGACCCCCCTCCCCGTCCACAAAAATCCACTTATTTTCCTTATATAAGTCCATACGCGTCCGCAAAAGTCAATTTTTTTCTGACCCCCCACCCCCCCCCCGCGTGAGGACGTTATAAATGGATGACCCCTCAATGTAAATAAATTCAGATGAACATCCCATGATACTCATGAGATAGAAATGGAAAGCCAAGAGAACCTGATAACTGACATCCACTTGTTTCTTAAATCAGGATTTTTACTAGCTGAAGGAAAACGAAAAAAAATGACAGCCGTTTTTGCGAGTTCTATGTTTGCATCCCTCAGCGAAACACAAAACCATATTTTATAATATCTATAGTAGAATATATATAGTAGAATATATATAGTAGAATCTAACAGTCTATATTTTTAAGTCTAATTATTAGTAATTATTCGACTACTGTGTTAGAATCTAATTTTAAAATAATGGGTCTTTGTTAATTTCAATAGCTAGCTTTCTAAATTAATCAGCAGTAGACTTTAAAGTTAGAATTTGATTGCGTTATTCACTAGCTGCTTGAGTGTCTTCCTAACATTAATGTACTAAAATTTAGATCTAAACTTTGGTCTAGTTTAAAGAGAACTTAGATCTAGATCTATTTCGATATCTTAGATCTGCAAACAAACGGTTTGTTATTGTGTTCAAAGTTTAAAAAAAAAAAGCGGAAGTAACTTTCTGGTTTTCTTGGCCAAAATAATAAAAATATTCAGATTTGGTTTAAAAAACGCCAACCGGCAGGACTCCATTTGGACTCCACTGCAACAGCCTATACATCTCATTGAGCATTGGAACCAATTTTTAAAAAGTGGGATTAAACGCGTCAATGATAATTAAATATGTAATTAAAAATTGATAATAATGTGTGGTAACCAAATGAATACACAAATAGATACACGGATACATGGTCGACGATTGATCAGGGGAGCATAAATATTGAAAACAGCCGGGTTTAGTCCACATATCAGACTCAATCTTTCCAGCCAACTAATGGCCACAAGGTAGACGTTATTGGTAAGTCTCTAATTGTAATTTTCGGGGACGTTTTACGACTAGAATATCTTTGAATGTTATTAGTTTAAAACTAGAAGTAATCGTGAGTCACACTTTATTAGGATGTCGTTGAAAGGAGAGACATTTAAACAACATTACAATACGAAATTACTAGTAAAGCTAACCGTAGGTCTATTGTGAGATAAAATTTGAACTTAAATGTTATCATTTAACATAATGAAGGTTGGTTGAGGTCAACATATTGATAACGTAGAAAAGTTGTACAAAGTTCGACCCGCGTGACACAGTACAGGAACACTCTCAAGCTTCAGGTTGTTGGGTTGATTGTTGTATAGTTGCTAGTTGCAACTTGCAAGTTTGGAAGGCGAGCTAGAGAACAGTCTTGCTAATTAACATGACACGAGTTGTGTTCCTTTGTTCCAGTACATATTTTGACCGTTGGTTCGTGTATTTGTTTTACGTTCTGACCACACAACCATTTGAATACCGAGACCAGAAACAAATGAAATCTACTTTCGTTTTCTAATTGACGCTAAAGTGTGTATAAGAACATGACTACATTAGTTTATAAGGGCTTTTCTATAACAGCAGTATTAAAAAAAAAACAAGCTAAAACAAACCTTTCAACTTCAAGATAATATCACAAACAGGAATTACATGTTTTTCTTTAAAGCAACTAAATGCAACATAAGGAACATAGTTGGTTAACTATAAGATTAAAACAAATAAGTATATAGTTGGGAGGATTAGCACCGGAAATTTCCAAAATCGATTATCGAGGCAATTGAGGCTCGTTAACCATCGACAGCAAATCATCAAGAAAAAGAAACTACCGGAAACAAAAAGGAATAGGATTTTGTAGTAAAATCACCAGAACCTCTAAAACTGATAATGTAAATGTTGAAGTTATTTTTAGAACACTTTGCCACTAAATTATCCCACCTTCTCTGTCCATCATCTCATAAACAAAGATAACAATGTCAGCTTACTATAAGATCTTAAAATTTCCGATTTTTAATGCAGAATAAACAAAACCTTGTTGTTTAAAACAATAACAAAACTTTTGATAATATAAAAGGACACCCACTCACAACACTAATTATCCACACTACACCATATTCTAAATTAGCCGAATTGAATTTTAAACAGATTCCGCTTTTTAAAGAATCGCATTCATATACAAACGATGTCTGTTTTCATTCTATCCGGCGGAAAGGGTAGATGTGGTCCACTGAACCCCACTCACTTATAAACGCATTGAAGTGAATCTGGAAACGTCGTTGGTCGTGCTTTGACAAGTTGATTTGATAAACAAGTATAAAGAGATACAATGAATATCTGCGATTGATAGATACGTGCATGGAATGATAGTTAACTAAATCTATACAAATACAACTCTTTTGGTCACTCATCATAATCTAATTAAGCACATGCAGTTTTTCGACGTGTCAAGACAATATGGCAACATTGTGAAGAGTTATTTGCCATCTAAAAAATAATGTAGTTTATTGATGAGAATATGGTTGATATAAGGCTTCTTCACGTTTGGACGTGCGTGTATAAGTCAGATTGGTTGAGATTGTGTGGTTGAGATTGTGTGGTGATAACACGTTTAATATTGTGTAATTTTGGTTATGTAAATGATTCTTCGTGATAGCGATTGCCTGTGAGTGTGCGTGATTGATCTTCTATTATTTAGAGTGTTATGTTAATGCTAGATTGTAGGATTTAGATAATAAAAAAGAAGTTATGTGATTTAAACAATTATTGTGTTATTAGTAATTTTTTATTATACTACTGTGCGATTTAGATTATGTATATGAGATGAAAAAATTAAATGGGTGTGATTTAGAATGATTGTTTGTATAAAGAGCGCTTACGTGTTATTTTTTATG